ATTTTCCTCTTATTTTAGCAATCCAAATGTGGAGATCTAATTCAATTAACATGTTAGAAACAGCTATAATTGATGAAGACCCAGTTGTTGCAGTAGTTTAGGTATCAGGCTAAAAACCAAGAGATGATGAGATCTAGTCTCACCTTTGGGCATTAAGCCAGGAGGGCGACCTTGGGTCAGCCTCTCTTCCAGCCCTAGGAAGGAAGCAATGGCAAATCCCTTCTGATACCTTCCCAAGAAAACTGCAGGGACAATCCAGACATTTGCCAGCAGTCAACATTGATATGAAGACATGCACACAAACAGTGATTGTTAAATAAATATATCCACCCAAAATCTTTATGTAAATCCTTCAAAACCGGTTAACTTAAAGGCAGGAATGCCTTGGATTCATAACCAATTAAACAACTGTGCCTTTAAGATGTGCCTTTAAATAGGACAAGCTTTAAGGCTCTAAAAGAACTGCACTAGAAGTCCTTTATGTTGGGAACGTCCTATTTTGTTCAATGACAAAAACAAATTTTACATTGGGTAAAATGAGTTTGTTCTTCTATTGCATCCTGTCCTGTAGGATTGTTAACAGTTTCTTGAGGCATAGAAGAGACATGAAGCAGATGTGTTCCCAGAAAGCTAATCCACTTCTAGTACCAAAGTTAGAGACGTATTTGTTTATGTTCTTATTTGTTGGATATATATTTTTTACCATTTCTTTGCCTGTGGACTCAATAGGAGTCTCCCCACTCATTTTATCCCAACAGCAACAAACCTGTGAGATAGATTTATCTCAGGAAGTGACTGCGCCAAATCATTCAGAGGACTCCATGACATTTGTGGAGATTTGAATATGGGTCTCCCCACACATGGTCCAACAGTTTAACCCAGTTAACCTTTAAAAGTCATACTATGAATTATGAATCAACAAGCTGAAGCAGAATGAGAAACATTAAATAAATAAAAGTATATAAAAACCAAAGGCTTGAAAAATGGTCGAAGAATCTGCTTAGATGTTTTGGAAAAGCTAGACTTCACATTCAAGGAGGGTGAGGCCCTGGGTTTTGCAGCAAAACCATCTTAGGGTTCTTATGAGCAACTACACAATTGTTGCCACATTTAGAGAAATTCTGAAATGCTGGATTCACATAAGGAAACAAAAGTTCACCACTTTGTTCTTTATTGACCCCTTTAAACTTGGATTCATATCTGTTTCTGAATTATCTTCCTAGGAAAATATTGCCACCACCACCCGTGGCAACTGAACCTCCAGCTCTAACTCTGCCTCTAGCTGAACCTCCAGCTCCACCTCCAACTCCAGCTCCCACTCCTGCTCCTGCTCCTGCTCCAGAGCCTGTTAAAAAAGGCAGTTCAAAGAAACTGTGAGTATCTGTAGAGTTATATGTGGGGGATAGTATTCTTTTACTTGAAGATAGATCCACCCATAGATTCACCCACCCATAGTTTCATTCAGTTTATGAAAGAGCCGTGGTGGCGCAGTGGTTAGAATGTGGTATTGCAGGCTAACTCACCGCTCATTGCCAGGAGTTCAATCCTGATGTCTCAGGATTGACTCAACCTTCCATCCTTCCAGTGCCAGTAAAATGAGGACTCAGATTATTGGGGGCAATTTACTGACTCTGTAAACCACTGAGAAAGAACTGTAAAGCACTGTGAAATGGTATATAAGTCTTAGTGCTGTTCCTATTGAATTTCTTAATCATATTTATATAAACTGATTGTTTTTCATAGCTGCTATACTAAGAGATGCCACTCGAAATTCCTAGCCCTATCTATAGGCAAGCAAACTGGGATGGAGTTATATTAGGTTTAATTTCCCCAGGAGAAAAAAAATCTCCAATAGATTGAACGTCACGGTAGCCATGTTCCAGAGAACAATTTATCTATAGCATTTTGCTCAATCACAGAGCTTTTAAGATGGGGTGGACTTCAAAACCGGTTCTCTGCCCGGTTGCTGGGTGGGTGTGGCCCTGGTGGGTGTGGCCTAGTCAGCCTTCTGCACCATGGTGGGGGGTGCATTTTTGCCCTCCCTGGACTCTAGAGGCTTTCCTTGAGCCTCCAGGAGAGAAGCGAAATGGCCTACCTGGGCTCTGAAAGCCTTCTGGAGGCCAGAAATGGGCATGTTTCCAGCCTTCCGGAGCCTCCCCAAGCCTCCATATGGGCCCTGCACTTACCTGACGTCCAAAAAGGGTCTCATGGAGACTCCTGGGAGGGGAGGGGTGGACAGGGGTGGGATTTGCCAGTTCGCTGAACCAGTCATTAAAAATGATAGCTACTGGAAAATTATCTACGGTTTGCCCAAACTGGGGCAAACCGGTAGCAGCTCACCCCTGTTTTAAGATATGTGGATGTCATCTCCCAAAAATTACCTAGCCAGCCATACTTAATATTAACATCTAAAGTTTCTGAGATTGAGAAAAACCACTCTAAAACTTCCTTGCATTTTAAGAAGTTTGAAAAGAAATGAGCCATTATTCTTCCCAGGATAACGTATCACAAGGAAGGACGTAATCTCCGTTCTTCTGTTCTGTTAAGATATCTTTCTGTTCTTTGTCAGGTCTGAAAAAGAGACAACCACTACGGAAACCTCACCAACAACTGAATGAGTAGTATAGTCTCTCAAGGATTGTTCTTTAACTTATAACTTTTTTCCACCAAAATATTTCCTGGGAAGGATGCAATCTAGGTTGTAGCAGAGTTCTTTTTAACTTCTATTCTGTTGTTTGTCAGGTCTGAAAAAGAGGCAGGCACTAGCGAAACCAGTCCAAAAACTGAGTAAGTTGTACAATTTGTCAAGGGCTCTTCTTCAACTTGGAACTTTTTTCCTCCAAGTTATTTCTAAGTAATGCATTTGTTTAAAATAACATCTAATTTATATTGTTACTATTGCAGTTTCATCATTATTAAAATTAACAATTCTATACACCTAACAACTTTCGCATATATAAACTAAATATAAAATATATTGCATGCAGAATGGTAATGCCCTAACACCTCCTGTACTGTAATAGTATGAAACAATCTGGAACAATAAAGTATCCCATTTTTAGTAGCTGAACGCATTTCAGATTCTAAGACCGTTCTGAATTAAAAATTCAGACGGGGGGGAACAGAACTAGGAAGCAGAGGATGCCTCCTAGTTCTAGCACCCACTAACCTGGTTGAAACTAAAGGGCACAAGCAACATTCTTTCCTGATTGCCCCACTCCTCAAACCCAAAGGAGAGTTTCTAGCTGAGTGCAGGAAAGTGCCCAAATCTGAGCAACAGAGAGTGCCTCCTCTTAGGGAGGTTTAATTTATTTTGGTGCACATTAAGGAAGATTTTATGAAATCTTCTTACTCTCTTTAGCTGTAAGTAAATGGAGCTAATGATGCTACAAAACTGATTTGTTTGCAGGAATGGAGAAGTGCCTTGCACAACGCTTTTGATGCTGGGCACAAAAGAGGATTGGCCTCTTCTGCCACAAATTCATTTACCTGCAAACTCTGATCCAACCTGATGGGGACTTAGATAAGAAGGCTTAAATATGAGGTTGACTGCCCTCTAGGCCCAACAGATGAGACCACAATGTGAGACGAAAGATCACCTTCTTATTAATAAAATAAAATCCTTATGACTGAATTTGGAGAGAAAGAAAAGCAAGTCATGAGCAGTAGTATTTGGAAGGAAAGGACCGAAATGGTAGTTCTGGTGCATGAGGAACTCAAAAAGCAAAAAGCAAGCTTAAAAGTGATAACTGATGCAGAGAACTGCTGCAACATGGGTAGTTCTTGAGGCACCTAGAGTGGCCCATGTTACATCTCTGCTCTGACTGGTTTGATTCTGGGTGCAATTCAAAGAGTTGGTTATTACCCTTAAAGCCCTGCATGGCATAGGTGCAGGTTACTTGAGGAACAGTGGCTGCTGGGATCCAGGAGAAGGACTTCTGCCCTCTGGGACACCTTACCCTCGGGGTGAGATTGGCTGCCATCCTTCCGATCTTAGTTAAGGTCAGAGCTGAAGACCTGACTCTGCCAGATGGCCTGGGGCCCAACAAGAGCGCATCACACTGGAGGTGGCTGGTGAATTAAAAGGCAATCCCACATCTCTCCCGCTGTACATCCTCCTCCATCCCTCCCCATCTTTTATCTTTTGGTTATCTTTTATTTATTAACTTTCTCTTTGATTATAACCACTGGTATCATCTCAGAAATATTTAACTTTTACCCCGTAAGCCTCCTAGGGATGCTTAGGAAGAAGATGGGTGGCAATTAAATCAAACAAATAAATAACTAGGCTAAGCTGACCAGGTGAAAATAAAATATTCAACTGCTGCCAGAACAATACTTAAATTCGGCTTTTAATTTTTTAAAAAAACAGGGGTTCAGAAACAGAAGGAGAAGAAACTGAAGGTACTTCAAAGAAAACGTAAGTAGCTTCAGTGTGCAAGTCAGGAGTGTTTCTCTTTAAGAAGTTTTGAATGGTTCAGAATGCATTTGAAGATCCACTTTTATAGGATATTTAATATGTAAAACATCTCGCCATCTCATTTTATTTCATTGTTCAATAGTACAAAGAAAAAGTTCTGGTAGAAAATAGGAAAAGGAAGGAAGAAAATAGAAAAGAGCAAAAACTTTTTACCTTTTCCAGTTCTGGAGTACTGAACACCTATTACAACAGGGAGTAGATCTCCTTTCAGTGTATATTCATTGTATGTTTCTGTTGCACGCATGTGGATGTAATTTCCTATCATTTTTATATCTATCTGATGCTAACAGATTGGAAGCTTTTTCAATTTTGCTTTTGCATTTGTATTTATATTTATATTGGATCCTATATTTACTCTTTGAAGAATAGTCAGAAAACCTGCAGTAACTTATGGACAAACGACTCTTTTTAGAAATAAAATGCTTGGTAAATTAATAAAGCCCTCTACTAGAGCATTATATAATTAAAATAGCATGAAATCTAAAATAAAACATTAAACAATAAAGCTACTATTCCTCTCTAAAAATGTAAAATATAAAGAAGGAATGGAGATTTTTTCCCCTAGACGATTTTCTTTTGTGTGCCTTCTTTGTTAGAAGGGAAATAGCAAGCAAAGGTATGTTTAGTGGTTATGAAAAATTAGCTTCAAGCTACAGTTGTTTTGGGTGATTTTCCTATGGTTGTCAGATCTAGATCTCAAAGAAATATATGTCCTTTCTGAAAAATCTAACCTAGCAACATTGCAATTTATAGAGAGAGTATAAGAATTTTCACATGAATACCTGATGTTCCAGATTTTCTTAATATATTTAGTTTGGGGGATCATATTTTCCAAAGTATGTTAAAATATATAATGATGTTTTCATATTACCTTGGTTTAATAGCATCTGGAAATGCAGATTTAGAAATCAGTCACTTTCTGTCAAAGAAGCTAGTATCTTGCAACAGAATTAGCAACGGCAATAGCACTTGGACTTGTATACAACCCCGCAGTGCTTTACAGCACTCTCTGAGCTTTTTATAGTGTTAGAATATTGCCCCCCAAAATATGGCGGCAATGCCAACCTTGGAAAGGGAAAAGGATGAGTCAACCGTGTGTCAGTCATGGTATAACTTTTGGCTATGGGCAGAGTTAGCTTGTAATACTGCATATCAGTAATTAGCTGTACTACTCAGGTCAGAAAGTACTGCGAGGTGCAGGAGGAGGCTGAGTTGGCAAACTACAGAAAAAGATTCCAGGATTGTTGAGAAAGGGTAGGAAGTGAAAAACAAACAGAAACGTAAAGGACTCATTAAAATGTCTCAATAGACAAGATAATATTGTGTTCGGCCTGTTACAATTCAGGTTTTAATACAAGAATATGCACCCTGATTTGTATAACCAATTCACAGATGAACCTCAGAGAATATAATGTGTTTTACTCCTAAGTACATTTACATTTGGATACCACAGTAAGAATCCTCCCAAACACTGGTTTACTAGGAATAAGCAGCATCCTGATTTGTTGTTGTTGTTGTTGTTGTTGTTGTTGTTGTTGTTGCACCCATTGTGTTCCTCCTATTGAAATATTTTATTTAGCACAGATGCTTGTTTACAGGGACATAGAAATAGTCATGCATTTCATTTATTTATTAAACAAATGTATATAGTTGCCTAACTCACATGTAGGTAATTCCAGGTGGCTTATAACATCTATTTAACATTTATTAATTAATTCTATTCAAACCTAGGGCTTCACTTCTTCCTTTCCGTATCCTTACCAAAGATAGAAAATGATGCTTCCAGACCCAAAGTAGTTATTGTGGGAAGATTTTATGGGTGGCTGCTAAGGCCTTTTCTCTTAGAGCGGCTGGCTATGAGAGTGTTTTTGAAATAAAAGCTCTAAAACACTTCTGAAATTCTTGCTCTTCTCAGAAAAATAACGGCACCTCAATATATGGATATTACTTTAGAAGCACCTGAGAATAAGGGTACTGCATCTATTATAATAGCTTGACAAAAGTTGAACAGACTTATTAGAAGAATATATAGTTTTATAAGCACATTGTAATATCATCTTTTAATCTGTTTATATCTACAGAAGTTCAGAAGAGGGAGACGAGGAAGAGGAAGAAGATTAATCCTATTTATCTAGAGCACTACTTATCACTATATATTTTGTTATTAAATACATTTTTCCATGCACCTTTTTATTGTTATCCTTATCCCGAGGCTTAAAAACATTTCGGAATAGTTATTCTCCCATCTGGAGCAACTGCAATTGGGTTGGGCTAAGGTTCTTATCACTCATGGCCTTAGTGGCAACCAATTATAAAATCTATAGGTTTCTTGGTGCCAGAATGATGTTTTACAAATGTATAGAACATTCACATGACATTGGTGTAGCAGCAGGATTAACCTCATGTGTATGTATTTATTTATTGCATCTCTATAAAATCTTCAATAGTATTTTCAGGTTTCCAAGTCCAGAATACTGTATCAGGTTTTTACATCTGTAACTAAAATTATGACTATAAACTGTAACACACACACACACACACACACACACACACACAAACAAAATAGCAGGGAGCGAAATAAAACTCACAGTGTGATTAAGAATTCACAACACTTACAATACAAAATGAAAATGTAACAGCTATTAAAAAGTCTGAGGAATAAAAAAAGTATTCACTTGATGGCAAAACAACAAAATTAGCTGTATAAGACTGCTCTCCTTTGCAGGGAAAACATTCTGTTTTCCTCACTTCACTTGTCAGGAGCAAAAAAATAAAATAAAACGACCTTGAAAGTTTTCATGGTTCAAACTGAGAGAGATGAGAGTATAAACTCCTTCTAAAATCTTGGTCCCAAGTCAAAATTTATATGGCAGGGAACGAGACCAAGAATTAAGCTGAAAGCTATGCAAGACACTAAAGAAAAATGAGGATTTGGCATGCCTGAATGGGAGTTATACACTTATACAGCAATTCTAATATGGATAAAAGAATGGATTACATTGAGGAATACAGTTAAAACTAGAAGGCCATGATATTCAAGTGGGCTGGCATGCCTTCTTATGGTACGAAAAAGATACAATACATAAATATTTCCAGAGATATTACTTAAGATCGGCAATGTTAATAGTTTGGAACAAAATCAAATATCAAAATTACATTAAATTTGGCTTTCCACACTAGAAGCATTTATACACTCAAATTTGATAAATATGGAAAAAATTGTAACATATAGAGACATATTAAATAAACAGGGAGAACTGAAAACTAGATTAGAACTGGTAGCACAAGGGGAGAATGTAGAATAGTAATCTTACTCAAGGGTGGGATTCATATTTCTTAACAACTGGTTTTTTGGGTGTGGCCTAATTGTGGGTGTGGCTTGGTGGTTATGTGACAGGTGGGAGTGGCTTGCTGACTGGGCATGGCTAGGTGGTCATGTGACTGGAGTGGGTGTGGCCAGGTGGCCATGTAACCAGCAAACCAAATGTAACTGGCCCTCGCCTAATGACCAGGTCCTTGCTTAATGGCTAGTTGCTTAGCAAGTGTTTTTTGCCAGTTTCCAAGGCCTGGGGAGCCCTGGAGAGGGCAGGGAGAGGCCCCGGGCAGGTGGCCAGGTGACTGGCAAACCAAATGTAAGTGGTCCTCGCTTAATGACCAGGTCCTCACTTAATGGCCAGTTGCTTAGCAAATGTTCTAATTTACGACTGACCTCCACAGAGCTACTTAGCCTGTTTTTGGTGTTTTCACACACACACACACCCTTCTAACCCTGCTATTGTTTGATTCTGTAAGGATCTCCTGATGGAGCAGGGGGTTGGATTAGATGACCTCTGAGATCTCTTGCAGGCTAGCCCTAGATTGCTGTGCT